GAATTACTTTTATTGATTTCCATATGTTGAACTAACCCTGCATCCCTGGTCCTACTTGATCATGGTACACTATCTTTTTAATATGTTTATCTATGTGACTTGCCAGAATTTTATTGAGAATTCTTGCATCTATGTTCATCAGGGATATTGGTCTGAAGTTTTCATTCCTTGATGTGTCTTTGTCTAGTTTTGGTATCAGGGTGATATTAGCCTCATAGAATGAGTTTGAAAGTGTTCCCTCCTTTTCTATTTCATGGAATACTTTGTTCTTCTTTGAAGGTCTTGTAGAACTTGGCCGAGAATCCATCTGGTCCTTGGCTTTTCTTGGTTGGTAGGCTTTTGATGGTGTTTTCTATTTCATTACTTGAAATTGATCTGTTTAAAGCATGTATGACCGCCTCATTCAGTTTGGGTAGGTCATATGTCTCTAGAAGTCTGTGGATGTCTTTGATATTTTCTATTTTAGTATACATTTTCAAAATGTTTTCTAATTATCAAGAATGGCTATATTTGTGACATAAATTTTATTTGATATAAATCTTGCTTTACATGTTTTAAACTTATTATATTTTGAATATTTACCCATGCTTCTAAAGTTCAATACCTAGTATTTCATAGCATGCACTCATCACATTTTCTGTTTCCTTAGTGAGGAACATTTGAGTTACTCAAATTCCCTCTACTGCAATCAATACTGAGATGAACTTCTTTGAACCTCATGGGATTTGAACTTATTTTTCTGGGGGCATCTGTCCAAGAGTGAGACTTCTGAATCACAGGGTGAATACATACTTAATTTCATTAAAGATTATCAGATTGTTTTCTAACCAGAAGTACACAAGGGGTACTCTTTCTCCAAGTCTACACTAATATTTGATATTACCTGAATTTTATTTTTTGCCAATCTGATAAGCATGAACTGGTATCTTGTTTTAATTCACACTTCTCTGATTACTAATAAGCTCAACTATTTTTATTAGTCACTCAGATTGATCTCCTGTCTACTATCTCACCTCTCCATGGTGAATGATCCAAATTCATAGTATTACCTGGTTCTTTTTCTCTTTTCCTTTTATCTCCTCTCCTTTCCTTTCTTCCTCTCCCCTGCCCTTTGCTCCCCTCCTGTGTCCTTCTCCTCCCTCCCTTCTTTTTTTGAGATGGGGGTGAAGGGTGTCTCATAGTGTTGCCCAGGTTGGCCTCAAACCCCTGGGACCAAGTGATCCTCTTACCTCAGCCTCCCAAAGAAGCTGGGATTATAGGCATGAGCCACTGTGCCTGACCTATTATTTTTCTATAGAGGTCCTTATTTATTATTATAGATTTTAGATGGCACTGACCCTAGAGTTTTGGAAATGTATAGGGATTTATTTTGGGGGTTCTTCTAGAATAGAAGCAATAGAACATATTGATTGCCAGTTATTTCAATACAAATTCCTTTAAAAATTATATGTTCATGTTTTATCTTAAAAAAATAAATGCAGAGGAAGTTTATTTTACCTATGGAGTCAGAATAGTAAAAAGGACTTCTGTAATTTGGATCTTAAGTGTCCCCTAATGATCCATGTGTTATAAAGGGCTAGTCCTCACCTTGGTGTTACTAGGTGGTGGTGAAACCTTTAAGAGGTGGTGCTTAGTGGGAGGCCTTTTAGGTCATTGGGGTGTGCCTTCAGAGGGCATTGTGGTACCACCATTTTGGTAAATTAAGACCAAAATAAGTATCCAAAAATAAATGTATTGTCAATGAAGTGTTTTAAGATTAAAAAAAAAAAGGGCATTGTGGGACCCTGGTCTTTTCCTTTTCCTCCCTTTCTCTTTCTGGTGAAGAGGTGAGCAGTTTTTCTCCCTGATGCCCTCCCCATCATTACCATCCCCCAAAGGCCTAAAAACAATGAGTCTGCCTGATCTTAGACTGGAACCTGAAAACTGTGAGCCAAAATAACCATTTTCTTTTTATGAACTAATTATCTCAGTTATTTGTTATAGTAACAGAAAGTTGACTAATACAAGAATACAAAGCTTTTGTTAAAAATAGTTGTGGGGAAGATATTGGGTGTCATTAGGCTGAGAAATGTTAATTCAGATATTAACCTTTTGTTGGCTTTTGATGTTTCTAAAAACTTTGTATTTTAATCATCTCCTGGTTAATTTTTATCTATGTTGAGATGTATTTCATATACAGTATAGTTCACTCATTTCAAGTGTATAATTGAGTGGGTTTGGTTTACAACATTGTTAATTTTTAAAAATTGTAGTATAATTGACATAATATTTGCCATTTTCACATTTTTAAATGCATCACACAGTGAAATTGTATTCATCATGTTGGGCATCTATCACCAACTCCTGTTTCTGAATATTTCCATCAATCCAAACCAAAATTATTTAACCATTAAGCAATAATTCTCCACCCTGCCAACTTGGCAGAATCTATTGTCTCAGGAATTTATGTATCCTAGGTACCTACATAAGTGGAATCATACATTATTAGTCCTTTTGTGTCTGACTTATTTCACTTCTCAAGGTTCATCTAATAATGTGTAACAGAACCTCATTCATTTTTATGGACTATCAATATACCATTGTATGTGTATAGCACATTTTGTTTTTCCACTTTTTTAATGCATGATACAATGAACACTGGCATCAAGTACTTGAGTCCCTAGGAGTGGAATTGTTGGGTCATAAGAATATGAGCTTACAGTGAAAATCAGTCAATCAATTAATGGGGCAAGAGAAACATCCCTTATAGATGTTAAAGGCCAAGCCCTTGAAATATGTTAATCTGCATAACTGGGAAAACTCTTCCTTTACAGCATAATGTTTTAGGCTGACAAATGGCCAAGAGCTTTTATCCTATTATTACCAAAAACTTTTGCAGATTAAGAAACATCAAGGGGCTGGGGTTGTGGCTCAGAGGTAGAGCACTCACCTAACATGCGTGAGGCCCCGGGTTCAATCCTCAACACCACATAAAAAATAAAATATAGGGACTGGGACGGTGGCTCAGTGATAGAGTGCTCGCCTAGCATGCATGAGGCACTGGGTTCGATCCTCGGCACCACATTAAAAACAACAACAACAACAACAAACTAATGTATTCACCTAAAACTAAAGATACATAAATAAATAAATATTAAAAAAATAATATATATTGGGTCCACCTATAACCAAAAAAAAAAAAGAAACATCAAGCTGAGCGTTATGGTGCATGCCTGTAATCCCAGCCAATTGGGAGGCTGAGACAGGAGGATCTCGAGTTCAAAGCCAGCCTCAGCAAGGGCAAGGCCCTAAGCAACTCAGTGAGACCTGTCTCTTAATACAAAATTGAGCTGGGGATGTGGCTCAGTGGTTGAATGCCCCTGAGTTCAATCTCTGGTACCCCCAACCCCCCTAAAAAGAGAAACATCAATTTGTGGCTCAGTGATAGAGCTCTTGCCTAATTTATGTGAGGCACTGTGTTCAATCCTCAGCACCACATAAATAAAGGTATTGTGTCCATCTAC